AATATACGACTAGTCGACAGCGTCAGAGAGCTGTTTCACAGCAACAGGCTGTTGCCAACAGCTAGCCCGGACAAACACCCCAACCACTGTACCACTAATTGACGTTGGAGGAGTTGAGTGAAGGTTCTGCAAGGGAGCAAGTTCAACGACTGTACAACGCAATGGGGGAAATGGCGCTCGCCGCATTGAACTTTGTATAGGTGGCACCAGATTGGGTAGTTACGTACTTCGGGAAGCGCAACAAGCTCACGCTTCCGAGCATGAAGAATTAAATGTTGGTAGCAGATTATCGGATAAAACCCATGAGACTACAGGTTGCACCTGTGTAGTGATTCTGCTCCAACTACGATATGAACAATTTTTTTTGTACTGGTACAGGGGCCCTCGTCTAGTCGTAGTAGTACTACGGTAGTACGTCATGGTGGTGTAAAAGTTAAGCAAAGTCACTAGTGTATACCACTCAGGACTTGGCAGTGAATCATTCACAAAACACCAAATATACGACTAGTCGGCAGCGTCAGAGAGCTGTTTCACAGCAACAGGCTGTTGCCAACAGCTAACCCTGACAAACACCCCAACCACTGTACCACTAATTGACGTTGGAGAAGAAGTTGACTCAGAATTCTTGCGGAGAGCGATTGAGCGAGTCGGCTCATGAAATGGGCACCATTCATCTTGCGACGACCGAGAAAGCTCTCTCCAGGTCGAAAATTGTTCCAAAATACTTGGCGTGAGAACATTCAATACAGCATCTTCCAGCATGACCAATTAAACTAAATATAGTACTCCGGTCTGAAAGAACCATCACTGAGTCTTTCCAATACCTTTCTCATTCTTAATCAATACCTTGCTCATAAATATTCATCCTTCCAGTTTCCTCTGGACGTATAGGCTGTCGTGTTGTAGAATTTCGAGCGAGCTGCTCATCGACCTTATTAGAGTACTACTCATAGTTCGAGCTACGGTCTGAACCAAATACATTATGACAGAACTGACGATGCTATAAAGGCCCCCACTGAACCACCCAAACCCGCACTAGTGATCAAATGTATAAACCCGCACTAGTGATCACGTCAAGCACTGGTACGCGAGAAACAGAAATCTGACAAACCAGTCTACTAACTTAGTAGGAACATATCTTTCCCCATGGCAACCACCCAAACCACTATACCTCTATACAATGGGATGTCAGGAGGAATTGAGCATCGGAAAGGTGGCAAAAGCTGACAGAAAAGCATCGTCAGCTGCTACACCGTGACAGGCATCAGAAGTTACTGCGGCTATGCTGTCATCACTGATGGAAGACAAGAATTAAGCAGACACTATGTCATATAGCTCCAATGAAGCAATTATCTTCGATCCCAGACATTGTCTCCCTGCTAGTCTTGAATGGTGAGCTGTATGATGTTTATAGTCACTGGCGGAAACTTGTCCTTCAGGTAAGCGTCTGAGGCATCGATTGTCACGTCTTTTTTCGAGGCTGCTTTTGGAATCGCAGAGATGTGGATGAGTCAGTAGGAATTCGGTTACTACATCATCAATAGCAGCCTCTTCAGAATCTTACTCGTTTTCTGTATCTGCTAGCTCATAAGCTCCGCGTTAGTTGATGAGAACTTCTTTTCGCTCGACTCCATAGCACTCCCACAATTACTCGAGGCACTATCAATACCCTCTGATAGTAGCTCGCTTCCCTAGATCCTCGTCCTAGTCATCCTGATAGTAAGGACCAGAGTCTCTCCTCCCGTTATCATTTGACTCACCTTTCCCGTTCTCATTTGTTATCATCAGACTGCGCAGATCTAGAAGCGTTCCACTTCATCGTTATGCATTCTCATCCTCAATGCGAGTCGGCTATCATCGTTCCTGATTTCCTGATCTCGGGCTCCGCGTTTTCGCAGTATCAAGACCAGAGCTACGTGGTTTGGTAATCTCCCCGTTTCGCTTCCCTGTATCGCCATTCACCGTTCCAGGTTGAACTCCATTGGAGCGATCGCCCCTATCAACGTCAGTGGAATCTATCCACTTGCAGGAGCTCACGTCTTTATCCAGTAGATCACTGGGACCGCACCTCGTGGAGGTCCCGTCATAAGAGCATGGAATGGAACAGAGACGAATTGCTTAGTGCCGGACTCCATCTGCACATTAGCTGCGTGACCTGCATCGAAATCTCGTCCCAGTGTCGTATCGCCTATTCTCGAAGCATGCTAGTCCCCAGGAACCCAGCCCTATGGAAGTTGAGGAAGATATTCGCCGTGGTTGCACATATTTGTCCGAGTAGTTTACGGTCGTCGCGGGCTAGATCGCGCACTCCATTGGTCTCATCGGCAGAGTTGAAGATATAGTCTCTCATCCCGTGGTCCTCCATTGAACGGTCTTTGTGTGTATCGTTCCAATCTTTGTCATGGAGCCTACGTTCATGGAGCATATCATGCCTTTTCCACCGTCTGGGAGAGTCGAGCGTTGATTACTAGCAGTGCAAAACTACGGTTTACGACTACAGTCCGTTTGAAGATAGTCGGATCTGACTTTGCTCATCCACCTATGTCATATAGGAAACCTAGTCTTAAAAAATTGACGAGCTTGGTCATCTGCGTCTTTGCAGCTTCCGGAGTTGTGGCTTCCGATGATGGTCCACTGCATTCATTATCGCATGGCTCATGAAGCATTTGTTGTGTATCTCGATGCCTATTCACGGATGGAGATCCCGCATATAGGGCACGTCTAACTGAGCTGTTGACCTGTTCAGTTCCTGTTGCAGTACAGCGTTAATTATCTGCGAGAGGAATCAATGCGGTTCCGGGCGGCACTTGATACTATCCGTCTTGAACATTATCGATTACTAATGAGTGCTTCTGGCTATGACAGTTCGCTATGTTCCGTTC